TTTCGAACACACTTCATTAATGCTCAAAATCATATCAATTACCTCACACAACTTTCCAAATTTACTCATATAATTCCATTATTTTCCATCTCTTGACTTGATTGGTAGTAATATTTTCCATATCTCTGTTATGAGTGATGAGTCACTGAATCCTATTGCACGTTTTGATTGTAGATTCGATGAACAAGGATTCAGTAACCAACTTCTCTGTCTCCACCTACTTAGACTAATTCTTAGAATCTTAACCTTCTGCCACCATCATATTGTGTGTTTGCGCGTTAATGCATGTATGCTGTGCGATTACTGAGCATTCTTCTAAATTACACATCTTCATGAGGTCAATCATTCTAACCTTAGCAAAATTCTTATGTTCTGATAGTTTATCTGACTACCCGCGATGTACTATTCTGACTGAGCTATGAAGTTGACTTAACTAACAGTCATTCCAAGGTGATGTGAGTAAAAGAGGATGATGCTCAGGAACGCTTCGTGTGTTTTTCAAAAGTGTGCGGGCGGTTGTTAATTCTCAGCTGCTGATACCGTGGAGGTTGATTGATTCTTCGGGTACCTGAAACTGAAAGAGTGTTACGTGACCGCAGGACCGCGGGGAAAACCGCTTGAGGCCGGTCACACACGGCCTGTATGAACTAATTTCTGGGATTGCTTCCGTATTAGTAAACTTACCGCCGGTTACGGATCACCATAGGGTTATTCGGGAAATACACTTTTTAAAGTCGACATTTCCTAACTCCTCTCTCTGGAGTGCAGAGACAGCACAGCTGGCATGCTGGTCATCTGGGGGAAACACCTTATTGCGACCGTTACACCCCTGTTCCTCAGCAGTTCGATTTCGCCCTCATACCCACAGAATAGTATAAGAAAGATTCTTGCACAATGCCGGTCTAATCGCTATTCTAACAACCTTTCTGACATGTAAGGACCTGCAGGAACATCGACTCCAGCCAGTGCAGCTCGTTGTGTCGTCGCGATGAACTGCCGCACATCAGTGCAAAGTTCTATGTCGAAAACAGACAGACAGACAGACATTCCAAGGTATTTTGTAAATTATATTATTTTATCTAATTGGGCCAACGAACAAGGTCCTTGAACCTACAGAGGTTGTCCCTAAGTGAGTGATTTAGTAGGTGTGAATGCCTCAATCCACTTACTGATTTATTAAGAACCCTACTTAGGGAGGGTCTCAGATGTACCTTCTGTCCTTATATGGTAAAACTACTGTAGATGCCTTATATTCGTTCTTATTTGTGTTATCATTATTAGTTTCCCCATTATTTTTATTTTTATTTTGACCTTTTCTGATCTTCCTAATGATTTATATAAGATAGTTAGTTATTTAACTCTGACGCTTCTTCTATCTGTTTTATTTCACCACTTAGGTCTTTTCTTGTAATGCCTCATGCTACTGCTTGGTTAGTTAGACACTTAAGTAAGCGTGCCAAACAACAGTTTGGGAGAGGCTTAAAATTCTAAAAAGTAATATACATATGTGTAGATAAAGGCAGGTTGATTACTCACTGAATCTATGTTCAACCAGATCTCTGTGTACAGAAAAGTTCATTCAACCCCTCCAACTTTTATGGTCTTAATCCCTCTATGCTAAGGTTTGGTCATCCCTAATCATATTTTGGATTTCCGAACACCATCCTACGTGGTTGTTAAGTTGGAGAGAAACAACATCCATTCGTAGTTCTTTCATTTCTCATCTCATTGATGCACAACACAAGATTGATTTTGACAAGGCGGCTTTAATGTTATCTGCCGCATACCAACCTACTTAGCCTAATTTCATCTCAAGAGTTTAGCTTTTACATACTGCTGAGGCTGGATGTTTCTATCTACATTACCAAGCCTAATACATATATGGAAAAGAAGAAATTTGCTTCAGACGCTTTCCTTACGCCGTTGGCCGACCATCAATGTTTTAATGGTCCTTAATTGGTTGTAGAAATTTCCTTAATTTTATTTTAATATTCTATTTAGTGGAGTATTACACTTCATGCTTATTATTATAACTTATGCATCTTTCTTGAACTGTGGTGATTCCGTTGTGATCCTAACAAGTCGATAGTACTTAGACAAAAATTACCAATATTGTTAATGAAAATTACTCTAGAATATTCTGTGTATGTAAATGCGCATATATATATAATTGTAGAGCTGGAAAAAGAAATTATCCAAGAGAATGTTGTTTGTTCAAACTTTCTTATGTCTTTTAATCATAATTAGGGAAGAATTGTTTACTCTCTTATTCTATATATCTTACCTAATAAGTTTGTCATCTTAGATAGATGAGTGAGGATCAATTTCTTGTGATATAACGAACTTAAATAACCCTCCGGTAGAAATTGTCTGCTTATTCTTCTGAGGGTTTTATGCAGTCACATGGTTGCTCACTCTCTCCACATTAATGACGCATTTTAATGCTCTTGAACACTTAGACTGAAGGTAACATCCACAGTTAATCTAGTATCGTTTGAGAAATTCCTAAACGACAGTTATACTCTAATTTCTCATCATTTGATGTAGGGCTTTTGTAGAAAAAGGAATTTCCCTGGAAGACATGCATTATGTATTTGCGCAACCTAGAATTGTCTTCGGCGTTTAATTTATTCTACAATCTACTGATATACTTCACATGCTGTCACCATAGGATAAAATAAAAAATCATTAGCATATGGGCTTTATTCACCTTTACCTTATTATGACATCGAATAAACCAACCTCCAGGAATATAATCTTTTGTGCTTTACATGAGGTATGGTTATCAAATCGTTTCCCTTTCACTTAAGTGTGGTTCTCATGAGTGCTTGTGTACCGTTAGAATTTGATTTTAATGCAAATCTACTCCCATTAATGACCTTAAGTTAAGATAATAAAAATTCTTCTTGAGTGAATAGTTTTCTTTTCGACGAATTCATCAACTAGACAGCTGTACAGCTGAGTATTTATGTTAAATATGACGGAAAATTCCAGAATTATTTCCGATCAAAGGTCAAATTATTAAAACTATAATGTGCGGTAATCAGGAAGATGGGTAAAACAGACAGAATAAGATTATACTTACTGAAAAAGTTGTCAGTTTGTATAATTACGGGTTAATGACGTAGTACAAACAAAATAGGTAGGAGGTTCTGATGTATAAAAATAAAGATAGTAACCAAATCTAATAATGCAGATGGTGATTTAAAAACGTTTATATAAGAAATAAACGAGAAGGTTTGACAAGAAATGTAAAAGGATAATCGTTATCGCTGTGAATGACTCTCCATGAATGTCCCAGTAGAGAGTACGGTTGGATATATTTCTTTCGGACACATAGAGTAGGCTTAAGATTTTGGATCGTCAGTGCCTCAGCTATTCCTAGATGTCTTCATTTCACTTCGTTAGAGAAACAGGATTGACCGGGTCTTGGATGTGTCTTTGAAGGACTTTTGAAATGGGGCTGAATGTTCTGAATTCACCAGTAGATATTCTGTTATCGAATTGTATACACCCTTGTGTTCTCCTTTCGCTTACTATTCTGTGTCGTCTTCCCGAGAGCGTTTTACAAGTGTAAGTAAGGTACGGCAAAGTACTCCACACGAAGAAGTGAACCAGTGTATGAATGTTGAAGTGGCCCAATTCGACAGCTTGTCTTCCATTACGTGCTGCTTGAATATTTTCTTGTCAGAAAATGTTACTCGTAGGCTGGCGGTGAATTAGATTTCACTGAGAGACTTCGAAATCTATCTATAGAGAAGTTCTACTTTATGATCACTTTTAAATTTGGGGTCAGGTAACAGCATATATTTGGGGGTGACTTGCACTTTTTCAGGTGTTTTCTTTGGTTTTAGGTTCTTGTCTATGAATCCGGGTGGGAGTTCATCACACTTTATGCTTTTAGATCCCTACTTGCTATATTAGATTTGGTTACTGTTTTTAATCCTGTATGTCCGAACCTCCCACCTGTTTTTGTTAATCCTACGTCCTTAATCCGTAATTGTATAAACTGACGAAATTTCCAGTAATTATAATCCCGGCGGGTGCGTACTGCTGAAGAGTCCCAAACTAGGACGAAACAGCTGTCCAGTATTCCCAGGTTTTCCAATGTTTCTCTAACTACTGTCAGCTCATGATGAAATCCTGAAACCAATCAGTCAAATCCCTATAAACCAACACTTGAAAACCAATGAGATGCTCACTGGTCACTTACCCTAATCAGGTAGGTAGTTATCTGGGGTTCTAGTGAGAAGTCGTGACCAGTAGAGTAAAGCAGGTCGGGTGTGAGGACAAATACTCACCGAAGACATTGGCTAGTGGTCGCGCTATGTCGTGAATTGGCAGAAGTTAGAATTCAAGGACCATTGGATCGTGTCCCAGTGGCTCAATGGTCTACGAGCTCGTCTTGTAACCGGAAGGTCCTGGGTTTGAACCTTAGCCGTAGGTGCGTACTGATGAAGAGTCCCAAACTAGGACGAAACAGCTGTCCAGTACTCCCAGGTTTTCCAATGGTTCTCTAACTACTGTCAGCTCATGATGAAATCCTGAAATTATAATCCTATTTTGTCTTTCCCACCCATCTTCCTGATCACCGCACATTGACTTTTAACCGGAAATAATTCTGGAATTTTCTACATTATTTAATCTAAATACACGACTGTCCAGCTGTCTAGTTGATGACTTCGTCGAAAAGAAGAGTTTTTTCCTCGCTGCAACCATCTTCTTAATAACATAGCTTTACCTTAATTTGTTGCCACCATACGGATTGAAAGTTGTTCAGCAGTTTTTTTTATCACAAGAGTTATTGGGCATTTGCTCAGTTAGCCTAATGGATCACACTTTTGCGTTTACGATGATGACTGCTACGGTCAAGCCTTAGCAGGAATGTTATTTTCTAGTAAAATGCAAATACCTTTATAGTAGACGAGTTTCAAACAGGAAGAAAGTCGCACTGTGGATTTCACTAAGAATCCCTAACACGCAAATAACTCCTTTCCACGTATTAGTTCATGAGTAGTAGTCAATATTATTTACTTTACATTTAAATATGATTGGGGGTTTGAAATATTTTACTGAAAACATTTATGCGAAAAAACATGCAATGGATTACATTTTTTAAAGAAAAAAAGCGAAACAAAGTTTATCATTACTACGCGCTACATTTCTGTAAAACTCCTATAAATCCGAATTAGTTATTAACTGTTTATTAGAATGTTGCCAAAGATCTACAATAATTGCATGATTATGTTAAACGCTGAAAGTGCATAGAATAAGGTACATCCCAACTGAAAAGAAGATAAGAAACAAATGCATTCATGAAAATAAATTAGGAAAAGTGTGCAATGCAAGTTTATATAAGACAATCCGTGAAAATGTTGAATTCCCTCGCCATTGTAATGTATCATTGTAATGATCACAAATAAGAATATCACATCCATCATAGTTGACTCACGTGCATCTGAAATACTTCTGGACTTCTTAAAAAGCAGCCGTCTTCAGCAAAGGAGAGCGTACTAGAAAAATTAAAATAGGAAATACTGATAAAATTCCATGTCTATATATACATTTATGCATAAACAGGGAGCGAGAAAGTTGGAGGTTCTCCCTATGTAGGATAAAGGCTTCGATTATACACCGATGTTAAAACCCTACAAACCACTTAAGATGCTGGGGTCATTATTATTATTATTTCATGTAATTCCTTTAGTAACATGGCGCTTCAGCTACGCACGTCTCCACTGCGTTCAGTTCTCTGCTAACACTTTCATCACCTGTCTCCGCGTCTTGTGATGTCACTCATTTGATGGTTTGTTTTCCCAGAGTATGGCCTCCAATGCACTTCCATTTCTTCCTGCATATTTCCTGCACAGTTGGTTCCTGCTGTCTTGGTTAGCTCATTGCCAGAAATCTCTGTTGCTGGTCTTTTCTGGCTGGTCATCTTATCTGTTCGAAGTCCTGCTCATAACGCGGCGCCAATTTTCTGATCCGTATATATATAGTAGTACTGACTTCACATTGGAGTTGAAAATCCAGACCTTATTTTTCATGCTGAGTACTGCTGACAATCGTCACACAGACTTGATTAGAGTAATGAAAGCTTGTCTTGTTTTACCTATCCTCGCTTTAATGTCCTCATCAGTTCCATCGGTCTGTAGTTGAAATTATGCTTCCTAGGTATCCGGATAGATAGGTAGAGGAGGTTGATTCTTTCAGATTTCTCCCATTTATGCTGATAAAGATGGTGCTATATATAAATAAATCTTTCATTTTATTCCTTTTTACATTCACAGTGGATCGTACGGTTTCATGCTAGAGCTTTGAAGTTTCGGGACAAATTATATGAGGTTGCTAGCCTCATGCGCCTCCAACTTTCATTCTTTATCCGTCTTATTACTGGCCTAATGAGGTAAAGTATGAGTGCGTCGGCCGGGGATCGAACTCTAAGCCACCTACATGGCTGGCGAGTATTCTAATTCTGAACCACCAACTCACAACAAGTATTTTTTCGCGAAATCTGATTGAGTAGGCCTATGTATCTAATGATATTGATTTAAAATCATTGAGTACATTCCACATTTATATATTTCTGACAAACACTTCCCACTGCTTGCTTGTAATAACTGCACAGTTGTGCTAGTATACGGATAAAATTCAATCAATTACATTGAAAGTATTTCAGGTGGCCTGACGCATCTATTCTGTATGTATACATTCTGCCTACTGGCCCCTCTCCACCGCAATAATGTTAAAACACAACAGTTGAACTAATTTTCACAAACAAACAAAAAGAAACATACTTCGCAGACTACAGCGGAGTCAGTTTTTAGAACATTGTAGAAGCTTCTGTTGAAAATATCTTGTGCCCAAGGTATACACTATGAAAATGAAAATATAATTGAAGACAGAATGACAATATACAGTCCAGGTTACATTATTATTAATCATGAACATGAATATACATATATATATATATGACTAATCTCAAATGCTGTTTCTTCAGCTGCATTCAGCTAGAGCAGACTCATAACTAACTGTACAGTTAGTTTATTATGTTTTATTTTACTCAAGTTTTGACCATGGATTGATATCAGTTAGAGAACTATGGCGAGCCAAGAAGCACTGAACAGCCAAGCTGTTTCGCTGACCATCCTAGTTTGCGAGTCTTCTTCGGGTGTGCTTTATTTGCGTTTATCCAATGTATCCCCAAGCTTCCCTTTCTTTCTTCAAAGCTGTAAATGTATCGTTAACATATCGACAGTAGAAATCAAGATTATATACTACACATTTAAAGGGACCATTCTGTAGTCTCGCTAAGATTAATCCGTTGGAACTGGGGCCAGTGACTCAATAAAGAAATATTTAGATCGTCAAATAGTGTTTCCATAGGATAATTCAGTGTATGATTAGCCAAGTTCATGGTCAAGTTTCTAAACAACTCTCATTTTGGCTTGGCAAAAGTGAGAATAAAGCTGCAATACTCAGCTCAATACCAACTCATCTCGCTGATGAGTTGGACATCAAGTTGACTTTAACGAAGCTTTTAACGTTATTTATCGTATTTCACCCGCTCTGTCACCGAATGGTCTACGAGTATAAGTTTTACATACAGTAGAGGCGACTGGAATTCATCTAAATAAGCCAAATCTATGTGTGCATTCAAAAGGAATTTGTACGGCCCCTTTCATTGCCATGGCCAATTGCATAATATGTGTTAAGTTTTTACAAACGATTTTTCTCCACCCTTTGTGACTGTCTCTTGACTTTGTTTATTTTTTACAATTCTAGCTAATTCGATTGACGTGTTTGTTTGTATTTTTATACTTAATTCTTCTGAGTCACCCTATTCCTCGTAGTCATAATCGCTATTTAACGAATTTATTGATTACGTAATAACTGGTTGTTATTTTTTTATTTTTGATTGCAGCATGATTCCACACTGTATTTTTTGTACAAGTATGGAATTTTCAGCGTGGATATCGGTAGCCCAAATTTTGCAGGCCGACCATAGATATCAGGTGTGCGTCGGCGTGGGCTCGAACCCCGGACCATGTGCATGGTCGGCGAGAGTCCTAACCACTGTGCCACCGACGTAACATTTTTAAGAATTAACTTATCTTGAATTCCATAAATAATTAATTTTTACATCTGCGTCCTTCAAAACTTAGTTTTCTTTATAACGACATCTATTAGTTAGTTGATGTTTTGATTACTATTAACCTCTTAATTTGACCCACCCACCCTCGTCCGCTTATACCTAAAACTGATTAACTAAGATAACCACTTGTGATTGGTGAAAAGATTTTGATGTGAAAAACGGCTATGTATTAGTGTGGAGCCAGCCAGCCAGTCAGCCTGCCAGTCGATGGTGAGGAAGCAATTGAATTGAAAAGGAATGGAATATTTCCTCGCTCAATCTCCTGTCTGTTTTTTCTAATTTTCAAAAATTGATTAGTAGGGATTTGATTTGTTTTTTCAAGTTTTACGATGGATTCATACCAACTAGAGAACCATTGAAAACCAGCCACATGGAGTACTGGACAGCCACCTGTTTCGCTAGCCTAATTTGGGACTAACTCTTCAGCAGTGCGCACCCGCCGACCGGAGTTCGAATCTACGATCTTCTAGTGACAAGGCAAGCTCTTCTAGCATTCTCAACCACCGGGATGTGACTCAATGCCCCATAATATCATTTGGTTGTTAAACTTGAAAAAGAAATCAAATCCCTACAAACCAACTTTTGAAAATATTAGTTTAGCGTGGAAAAAAGATGAAAATGCTACAGCTGTAAAAGATAAACCCGCAGGTCACCAGCATTCGTCAAAGGCGATAGAAGGAAGTAATGTACTCCTCCGTCATTCACATAATTTTCTATCTCATGGAAAATTCCCATTGTAACATATGGAAAATCAAAACAAGTGGTGATTAAGTGAAGAGACTCTTTTCAACGAATTTGTCATCAAGCTGTACAATCGTATATACACATACGGTTTTTGAGAAGTTATTTCCGGTGAGGGAATTGAATCATAGGTGTGAATACATAAAATAATAATAATAGCAGTATGAAATGTAACCGAAAACTAAAAGAGTGATTTACTCAAATCCCTACTTACCCGACTCATCTGTATTGCTGAAGCCAACTTTGGCTAACGAAACAGAAGAGCCAGATTTCTGTGCACAGGAAAAGTCCGTTCAACCCCTTCAACTTTCATGGTCTTAATCCCTCTATGCTAAAGTATGCTAATCCTCAATCATATTTTAGCTCTACCAATTTTTTTTCATTTTGTCTATTTAATTTGTGTTCTTTTCCTTACTATGTCGGTTGTTACTATAACTATTCTCACTTCGAACTGTCCCCGGTATTATTTCACTTGTTCCACTTGTCATTCTAAATCAATTCATTTTTACAACGTTAAATTCTATGCTATTAAATTTCATGGGGGATTTAATCATGAGCTGACATCATTTAGAGAACCACTGGAAAACCTGGGAGTACTGGACAGCTGTTTCGTCCTAGTTTGGGACTCCTCAGTAGTACGCACCCACCGGGATTCGAACCCAGGACCTTCTGGTTACAAGGCGAGCTCGTAGACCATTGAGCCACTGGGACCCGATCCAATGGTCCTTGAATTCTAACTTCTGCCAATTCACGACATAGCACGACCACTTCGCAATGTCTTCTTCGATGAGTTACTGCCTCATCTTCGACCTGCTGTACCCTAAATTTCACACAATATTACGTAACGTTTTCATTTTTATTTTATTCGATTGTTCTACTAATCTTATAATTGCACATCCTTTTTCAAGTTCTATCCATCCTATGAATTATTGTATATATGACAATAATTTGCTTTGTTACTTGACATTTAACTATGACTATAATCACAAATATTTTAGTTTTTAATTGCATTTCATACTATCATTATTATTTCATGCATTCACACCTATGATTCAATTCCCTCACCGGATATAACTTCTTAAAAACCATATGTGTATATAAGATTGTATAGCTTGATGATAAATTCGTTGAAAAGAGTATCTTCGCTATACATATATATTCATATTATTATCTTGCTATGCCATTAAGGCAATTAACGGCGTTCTCTGAGCTGGTTGGTTTAGTTGCGGAGCTTTCGTTGTCCTTCTGGACAACTTCTTCAGCGCAATTTTTAAGCCGTTAGGGTTAACTAAAGGTGGAATTCACATATTTTGAAAGTGATGTCAAACTAATTGTCGAATTTCAAATGTCATAGAACTATCTAACTGTTAAACTAGTGGCCAGTCATAGATATAATCACACCTCGACTGTAATTAGTGCCAATTTCACAATCTATTCTAATGGACATATACATTTCTGTGGTATTATGATCACTTAAGTCGTAATATGCCATTTTAGACCAATGTGGTTGGAATTTATTTTGATTAATTCTCACATTGATCTTATGCAGTAATATTTACTACTGACGACCACATTTTGAGCACAATTCATTACTCCTCATAATCATATCAAGGCATTTATTCACACAACTTTCTAACTTTGTTTATATAATCGCATTATTTTTCATCGCTTGATTTGATTGGTAGTAATATTTTCCATATTTCTGGTATGCCTGATGAGTCAGTGCATCCTATTGCACGTGTTGGGCGTAGACTGGATGAACAGGAATTCCTTAATCCACCTCTCTCTCTCCACCTATCTATATTACTTCTTAGAATTTTACCCTCTCCTAATCTATTGTGTGGCAGGTTTAGTAAAGTGTCTAACAAACCGAGCAGTAGCCCTAAGTAGTACGGCAAAAGACGTAGTAGAGGTAATAAAACAGATAGAAGAAGAGTTGGTATCAAACAACTACTCTAAAGAAATTCATTAGGAAGATCAAAATGGTCAAAAGCAAAATAAAAATAAAAGAGTATATAAGGCATCTACAATAGTTTTACCATATACGAAGAGGACGTCTCAGATCCCACGTGAGATTCTTATCAAACAAGGAATTAGAATGGTGGCACTTCAACCTACAAACTCACTCATTCACTCAGGGACAAGTTTCGTAGTTTAAAACACTGTGTCGGTTGACTTAATTAGACAAAATAATATATAATATGTGCGTCGGTGGCACAGTGGTCAGGACTCTCGCCTACCATGCACATGGTCCGGGGTTCGAGCCCACGCCGGCGCACACCTGATATCTATGGTCGGCCTGCAAAATTTGGGCTACCGATATCCATGCTGAAAATTCCATACTTGTACCAAAAATACAGTGTGGAATCAAGCTGTAAATCTAAAAAAAAAATCTAAAAGAAATACCTTGCAATGACTGTGAGTTAAGTCAACTAAATAGCTCAGTCAGACTAGTACATCGGAAGTATTTGGATTTTCTGTCGGAACATAGGAATTTAGCTAAGGTTAGATTGACTGATCCCGAGAAGTTAAATAATTTAGAAGAAACCTCAGAACTGGATTGCACTGCACTGCACTGGATGCATTAACACACACAGAAAAACATTTGCATATGAGAATATATCTTACAAACGCTTCAGTGTTATTCTGAGAAAACTATTAAGTATATCGGTCTGTTATATCACACTCTGCTTATAGTTGCAAGATTTGTCTCAACAAGTGATCATTTCCACTCAATAAAGAAAACGCCTAACCATATCCCCTTTTTCATTCTCTTTTTCACTCGCCAGGCTGGATAGTGCTCATGAGGGGGTTTTTCAATTTGGCACATGGTACGTGTATAAAGTTCAATGTAGCAGGACATTTGGACAGTTCAGAACATTCAGCGCCATTCAAAAAATCCTTCAAAATAATGCACAAGATTCGATCAAACCTATGAAAGGGAGTAAAATTATGACATCTGGGCATAGCCGAGGCACTAGCCATTCAAAAGGAAAGATACATAAAAGCGATACAAACATGTATTCTCATGCATTATCCCAATCATTTCAGATGAGAATATATATGTATCTGTTTACATTCCAAATATCTAACTCACTCTTTTCGTAACAATTCCTGGTAATCTGCAAAATTTCCAAACGAAATTGTCAAGTATTCTACTGACGGTCGGAGATAAAAGGTATAACTTTCCTATGTTGACTATGCCTTCGCATACATCACATACTAAAGGTGTATTCAGATAAGATTGGCAAATCACCATCACAAATATATAAAACTTACTCAAATCATTCGACGGAGGATTGGAGATGCGTTCAACCTTCAATTTTTAAATATAATAAGGAAGTAGGTTATAATTTAAAAAGGTATACGTTGAAGTGGAAACAAAGTTCATAATTGGAAATTCTCTCTGATTTAATCTAAAACCAAAATCTTACATACCCTAAAAAGATTATTCTACGTTGAAGCAAAAATAGATAAACCCATAGTTCTATGGAGACCAGTAGTAGATTTTACTAACTCATCGACACACACACACACACACAACCTCTACAATTACTTATTTTCCATAATGAAACGTTTGTGGGAAATGACGCTCAAAATGTTGTGAAAGATTCATGTCATTTTAAATCCTGAAATAGAATACCAGGAAGTTGATTGAGAAGATACTATGGTGAGCTATGATATAAACTCATTAGATAGCAACGTTCCCATTACTGAAATTCTTGATATCATTTTCACTTTACTAGAATCAGATGCAAACCTATCACAAAGATGTTTACAGGACACCAGTGAAATGATTAAGAGCTGGAAATTCCATCTGGAAAGTAAATTATTTCACATTTAAAGGGAATTTATATAGACTGACAGACAGTGTTGCTATGTGTTCACCAGTTTCCTTAATAGTCACTGATCTTTTCATGAATAAATTTGAAGATAACATCTTTTCAAGTATACTCACGCCTAAAATAAGGGGCCGAGATATGTTGATGATGATACTTTCATCTTACTAAAATAAGGTGTACATAATTCATTCTTGGAGAAACTGAACAATCTATCTCCAAGCATCCAGTTAACTTCGGAAGCAGGCAGAATCACACTTCGATGAACTTCCATTTCTAGAATGCTCAGTTAAGAGGATAATTCCATAAAAATCTGTATTTATTCGGGAATAAAAAACCCACTCCAATAAATATTCACACTTCAAGTCATCACACTACATAATCGTAGAGTTATCGGATGTCTCTTTGACGTTAACGTATGCCAGTGCAAAGAAGAAGAAACCTTCAACATTACTGAAATTCTCTTGAGAGAGGAATAACTATCCACAGAACTTCATTGAAAAAAATCAATACTGACATTATATATATATATATATATATATGTCGAAAAAGTATTCCGAAGACAAGTGCCTCAAATGTTGTTGTCATTCTATGTAGACCATGAGATATGTCAGACGACATCAGAAGAGAAGAGTACTCAATATGCACAATATCGCAGTTTTCATCAAAACATCAAACTCACACACGCACACACATCACAAAGTAGACTTGCTCATGTGAAATACCAAATCCCTAATCATTCTCAGTGTAATTTTGTGATAAACAGTTTCATTCTTTCACACGCTTAACCATTCCAAAAATCTACACTTGATTTTGTTATCACTAGTGATTGGCCAACTTAACAACGATATAAACATTACTCCATGCTGATGAAGGATGATTAAATTGTTATATAATGAAAGCTGATTATTATTATTATTGTATCCTTTAGTTCCTAGAGGAACATAGGGCTTCAGCTGAGCACCTCCATTGCCTTCGGTTTTCTGACAACTTTTTCACCCTGCTCCAGGTCTGTCCATATGCTTTCATCTCCTCCTCGCATGACCTCCTCCAAGTCACCCTTGCACTGACGACCAACTCGCCGCCTCCCTTTCGGGTTCCACTCGAGCGATGGCTTGTCTAGTGATGTCACTTGATGGTTTCCTCAGCGTATGGCCAGCCAATCCATCTCCATTTCTTTCTGCCTATTCGTTTCACAATCGGTTCCTGATTGGTTCGCTCATTGCCAGAGATCCCTGTTTCTGATCTTTTCTGGCCATCTGATCTTGAGTATTGAGCGGAGACAGCTGTTAATGAAGGTTTGAAGTTTGTTTGAGATGCTCTTTATGACTCGCCAAGTCTCTGATCCGTATAGTGAGTAGCACTGACTTTACACTGGAGTTGAAAATACGGATCTTATTTTTGATGTTGAGTGCTGTTGACCTCCACACAGACTTGAGAGTAATGAAAGCTTGTCTTGCTTTTCCGATTCTGGCTTTGATATCCTCGTCAGTTCCGCCTGTAGATGAGACGATGCTTCCCAGGTTGGTGAAGGAGGTTGTTTATGATTAAATAATAATAATACTTTGTTAAAGCTATTAGTGGCGTCAGCATTAAATAGCGAAACGTCAGTAGAAACGACGATATCGTTTCGTTTTTTTTTCATTCAATCATTGGGAAATACAAAAACTGTTCAAAGTAAACTTGGTTTGTTACATAAACAACCAGTCATTCTTATTCCATCTCATAATAAAATTTCAAACTTTCAGTCAGTTTTTATCAGTCTCTCAGGGTCTGCGAGGATCGTATCCCTTAATTATCGTTGTTTATAGGGATAACACCACCAGGAGGCCTACCTTTAAACATAGCGTGTATGAAACACATCTCAGTAATATTCTCATGCAGTAAGCCATATGTTAACAAATAACTATTTTTTCACTAAATTCCCTTACGTTCCCAGTGGAATATAGGAGGGGGCTTCAATCTAGAGGTTTGTTGTTTCAGTAACATTGGTGTTTATGTTTAAGGGATAGGATTGTTAACCTCAAGTCTAACTGGTGTTATTACTGGCTTAGTGAAGTAAAGGAGTGCCTTGTCGGCTGAAGATCGAACCTTGAACCACATGAGACATGGTTGGCGAGCATACTACTGCTGCGCAACCGACGCACAACAAATTACTATCCTACTTTAAATATGAACATATATATATATATATTAACAGTCAGCATATATATATATATATAAGGATGTAAATTAGTATTGAATATAAAAATTGATATCAGTTAGAGAACCATTGAAAACCAGGGGAGTACTGGACAGCTGCTGTTTCATCCTAGTTTGGGAATCATCAAACCAAACTATAGAAAGTTAATCTGATGCTTGCTAGTGACATGCTACAGGTTGGAGTTTCCTGAGTTCTAGTGAGAAGTCGTGACCAGTGAGGTCCAATTAGATGTCACGTGTGTGGATGGATGTCCCATCAACGACAATGGTTGGGGTCGCGCTAAATCATGAATTGGTAGAAGTTAGAATTAATCAGCTGGCCACTGAATCAGGTCTGAGTGACTGAATGGTATACGAGCTAGCTTGCCTTTTAACCAGAAGGTCCCGGGTTCGAATCCCAGTGGATGCGTACTGCCGATGATTTCCAAACTAGGATGAAACAGCAGCTGTCCAGTACTCCCTGGTTTTCAATGGTTCTCTAACTGATATCAATCCGTGATCAACCCGTAAAACATAACTAATCCTTACAAACCAAACTATAGAAATAAAAAGTTGAACAGTAATGCTTACATCAACCGCATAAGATAACTGCAAACCACCAACTAGAAAAGGAGACAGGAGATTACTGATGAATTTCACAAGAAATTTAATCGTTTACTTGTGCATACAATGAACAGGACAATGAACTGTAGGCCAAGCATAACTGTCTTTGCTATTGTTGAGTATAAGTATTGTTGAGTATGTAAGATATGTAAGATAAATTTATTCTATTTAACTTTGTTATTAAGTTTTATAGTTTATCTTTAACCTATTTCGGAAAAAATAATGAATAAAAAACGAAAACATATTTCAAAGTATTTTAAGTGTTGACTTTGAGTTGTTTTTTGTAATAATGGAAATGAGACCTTTGTCTTTGTACAAAACATGTTTGTTTTGATATCGAAGATGTTTCTACCATTCTGAAGTTCATAGTCTTTTGTTTAATACAGAAAAATTAATGTTTAAAAATATTTTTTTTAATATAAAATTAATAAACTCAGTATTCTTCATTTTGTACTTTATATTCATCAAACACTTTTTAAGGCTGTTGATTTGAGTTCATCATGAATTCGTGTAACTAATCAATAAAATGCCTACACACCAATACCTGGATATCAATGAGATGCTCATTAGTGACTAGTCTCATTCAGGCAGGTAGTTACCTTGGCTCTAGTGAGAAGTCTTGGCAAGAAAGGTAGAGCAGGTTAGGTGTCAAGGTAGATACTTGCCACAGGTGACACTGTATAATGCCAACCGCGCTATATCATGCGTGAATTGACAGAGGCTGGAATTCGCGGATTGGTCATTTAATTCGAAGCCCAGTGGCTTAGCGGTCTACGAGCTTGCTAGTCTTTTAACCTGAAGGTCTCGAGTTTGAGACCTTGTCTGTGTGTTCTTAGTGATGAAGAGTCAGTCCCAAAGTAGGATGACGAAACAGCTAGCTGTCTAGTAGTACTCCCTGTTGGTTTTCTAATGGTTCTGCAACTGATGTCAGCTCAGAATGAAGTCCTGTAGCCAGCAATTCAAGTCCCTACTAACGCATGCTTGAACATATATATATATATATATATATATGTATATATATGATGTCATATTAGTAGGATATTCTAATTACTATTCCTCAAATCATTTAAGTGAATAAAAAGTTCCTACTTGATATGGTGAAGCAATTTCAGTTATAATAAGTCCTTAGTATATGATAATTCTTCGTCAGTAATGTCTAACTATGGATTTTTTTGTCAACAAAAATTTATATCCCTAAAAACTCAAGTGAAATCGATACTTCTGGCGTTGGTACTCAGCGATACGATTGGTCTCAGGACACCGATCAATACAAATTTGATGCTCACCTGCGATTCGCTTTATTCAGGTTGGCAGTTACGTGGATTCTAATCAGAAGGCGTGATCACTAGGTTTCATCAGGAAGAATGTGAGGATAGACACTCTCCACCGAAGACATTGACAGGTAGTCACATTATTTCGTGGATCGGAATAAGTTGAGATCAATGGATCTGTCATTGTATCGAATACCAGTGGCTAAACGGTCTCTCCGATCGCTAGGCTTGTGACTAGAGTGTCCTGCGTTAGAACCCTTGTCTGTGGGTCCGTAGCTCTGAAGATTGACTCCAGAAGTAGGCTGACGAAACAGCTAGCTGTCTGTACACAGAACTCCCATGTGGCTTTCCAATGCTTCCCTAACTGACATCAGTCAGTGATAAAATCCTGAGAGCAATCAATCAATTGTATCCTCACTGATATAAATAAAATCCTTCAGTATTTATTATAAGTTATTCCGCCGGGAATTCATCCCTTTAAGATGGAAGCTAATTCTGTAAACTCATTCGAAGCATAGTCAGTCTGCAAGAAGTGGATCTGTTTTGGAAATTGATGTTGTCTACAACGTAGATAAAAAGCTTCAAGAACAGTTTATCAAACCAAAAGCCTAAGTATTACATATTATCCACCGCCTAAATGTTAAAAGAAAACGTTTACATCATTCTACTACGCATTAAATTATTCTCTAGTTTACTAATCCATGGTCACATTTCAGGAAGCAAAAGCACCTGTATTTCTGTTCAGCGACTTCATGTTAAAGCTCTACAGTCGTATTTTGTATATTACGAAAAAAAACACAAGTTAGCACTAGAAGTTGCTTAGTAGTCAATATAATACACACGATAGGAATAAAGATAATTAAAATGATGTATTAAGGCGTTAGAGTTGAACTGGATGAATTACAAAACTTTCAAAAATTATAAAATAAGTAAATTGGCGACAGGAATTCAGCTATATTAGGTCGTGTTGCTTGAAAAATTGAAGAGTACGATAATGATGATGATAACACTAAATACGGCGAAGATGAAGTGCAGACGTTGAATGAATTCAAACGATAAAACTTGGTTAAATAAAGGCACATCACTATGGCCAAGAAAATAGAAAAAAGATTTCAGAAAACTTTTTGAACACAAAATTTAGGTTTCTGTCCACACGTAACTAGAGCTTTGGCTATGCCTAGGTGGAGAAAATATGAGCTTTTGGAGAGGTTGGATTAAGCCCTTTAGATAATTTTAAAGGTGTTAAGCTTGACTTGTAGTCATACTGAAAATTTAGTTCTCAATTTCACTGATATTCTGAATTTTCAGAATGACTTGTCCGCAAAAAAAACAATGATGAAACCTTCCTGGAATAAGACTGTAGAAGTCTAATTACCTGAAAAAAACTGCCATCAACAACCTTTTCCCTGCTGAGATACAATTATCAAGTGCAAAAATATACATGTTTCAATATGATATCAGATATTTCTTCATGAGATGGTGGAGCAATTTCAGTTCTAATTTCATAAACTGATGAGCACAATTTACCGTTGATGACTTCAAGTTATGTAGAACTTCTAATTAGTTCGCTGTCAGGTCACTTGTGTGGTTGACCAGATTCTCATACTGAACTTGATCATGTGGTGTATTTTCATTCGACTGAGAGAAATAGAATTTTGAGGCAAATGATAATATTTCCACATGAATAGTACTTCGATTAATTGAGGAGTAGTTAAAAGACGTTATTTTCAGGGTCTTTCAGGAATTCCTCACTTGATTTTTGGTTGGCTTTAGTTAATTCTTCAATTTGAGATTAGCACTATCGCATTTTCCCTGATAACCATAGTAATGTATTCTTAGAATTGTACACGTCTTCGCAACTAATGTACAGACGAAACTCTAGCTATGTGTGGACAGAAACCTAAATTTGGTGTTCAAAACGTTTTCTTAAATCCCTTTCTATTCCTTGATCTTAGTAATGTGCCTTTATTTAGCTCTATTTTACCATTTGAATCCATCTCACTTCACTTCGCCTTCGCTGTCTTCATTGTTATCATCATCATTATCGTACTCTTCAAATTTAAAGCAACACGACCTAATATAGCTGAATTCTTGTCGCCAATTGACTTATTTTATAATTTTTGAAAGTTTTGTAATTCATCCAGTTCAACTCCAACGCCTTAATACATCATTTTAATTATCTTTATTCCTATCGTGTGTATTATATTGACTACTGAGCAACTTCTAGTGCCAACTTGTGCCTTTTTCCGTAATATACAAAATACGACTGTAGAGCTTTAACAAGAAGTCGCTGAACAGAAATACAGGTGCTTTTGCTTCCTGAAGTGTGACCATGGATTAGTAAACTAGAGAATAATTTAATGCGTAGTAGAATGATGTAAACGTTTTTTTTAGCATTCAGGCGGTGGATAATACGTAATACTTAGGCTTTTGGTTTGATAAACTGTTCTTGAAGCTTTTTATCTACGTTGTAGACAACACTAATTTCCAAAACAGATCCACTTCTTGCAGACTGACTATGCTTCGAATGAGTTTACAGAATTAGCTTCCATTTTAAAGGGATGAATTCCCGGCGGAATAACTTATAATAAATACCCAGGGATTTTATTTATATCAGTAAGGAAACAATTGATTGATTGCTTTCAGGATTTTATCACCAACTGATGTCAGTTAGGGAAGCATTGGAAAGCCACAAAGGAGTACTGTGTACAGACAGCTAGCTGTTTCGTCAGCCTACTTTTGGAGTCAATCTTCAGAGCTACGGACCCACAGACAAGGGTTCTAATGCAGGACACTATAGTTACAAGCCTAGCGAAAGCAGAGATCGTTTAGCCACTGGTATTCGATACAATGACAGATCCATTGTTCTCAACTTATTCCGATCCACGAAATAATGTGACTACCTGTCAATGTCTTCGGTGGAGAGTGTCTATCCTCACATCCTACCTGATGAAACCTAGTGGTCATGACTTCTCTCTAGAAACAGGTATCTAATATATGTGTTAACCTTGAGAAGTGTGGTAGTAATAATAGTAATATTTTATTTATGATGTGTATCTTATACTGAAACATATCAATAACTTGATGACGCTTCGAATAAAATTTATTATTGTTCATAATTCTGCGTAATGTCTCCCAGGTTCTTTCCTTCTATGGATTTACTACTGATTAATTAGATTCCTTATTTTTGATGTTGTCATTTTCTTTAGCATGTTTGACATGCATATCGTTATTATTATTATTATCACTCTAACTTCTATCATTATTTATTTTATTTTTACATTTCTCTTCATATTTCCTGACTAATTTATCCGGGTAATTATTAAGTTTCAAAGCTTCTTTTGTGTGTATCACTTTCTGTCTTAGATTTTCTTTGGTACCATTTAGTGTTTGTGCTCTGTCAGTTAAACATTTCATCAATCCTATTTTCACTACCATCAAAATGGGCTGACTGGGAGTCCAAATATTTGTTTATATGTATGGTTTTCCTGTAAATACACACTAGTGTGTTTAACTTTCCATCTTCTTTCCTTTTTACGTTGCAATCAAACATTGGAAGCTCCCATTCTTGACTTTCAAATTCATAAGTGAATTGAATTGCCTCTACCTTCGAGTTGATGTTTTCGGAAAATCTATCTTTATCTTGTGTTCTAAGTGTACGGTGAATGTGTCATCTACATACCTCAACCATACTCTTTATATGGAAGTTAACAGTTGGAAACAGGCCTTGTCGGCTGAAGGATCCTGTGGAGCCTTTAAAACAAAACAATTTAGTCTATCTAATATCCTATCTGCGCTGATTGTTCGGTCAAATACATAGGTAAAACTAGTAGAACAGGGGCAGACAGACTAGACGAGCATAAAAACCTATCAGCGAAATCTATATTAGTTGACCTGAATAAGATAAGAAATATAGAGAAGACTACAGGACTACATGCAGTTTCACACAACCATACAATAGGATGGATGGGATAGGATGACAGTTTTAAAATCGAATGTAACAGGGTGGAGGGAGAAATTGATTATAGAAGCTTTGTTTATCGAATCAACTGAGAGTCAATACGTGTAATAGGAATGATTCATCACCTCTCCCTGATATCTGGAAAATTCTACTACCCAAAAGACGACAAATAAGAGAGGACAAAGAAAACTATAAAACTCAAGTTCCAAAGTCGTGTGATTACAACTGATATGATTATGAAGAATAAATTTTGTTCGAAACTGTGTCATCCAGTAAATAATACTGTTTCACTCACTATGTGAAACATCTAAGAAACAAATTAATAAGGAATCCAGGTATCTACCTTTTATACTTTGATTGTACACTAGTTACTAGTGTGATGTGTTTAGTCCTCGCTGTTTGGTGTAGACTAAATCCTACTAGTCAAGTGTGCAGTGTGAACACCATTCTACGTAGCTCGCCATCACGGTGCACATTGATTCCAGGATATTAGACAGTTGGAGACAATCGGGAACAGGAAGCCCATCTTGACCAAGGTAACGAGCTAGTTGGCACTCACCAGTCATCAAGGATTATCTGGTAGTGGTCACATTGTAAACCTGACTTATAGAATTCAGTCTACATCAAAGTAAGTACACGGTACATCACACTTATTACTGTTGTCCAATCAAAGTATCCAATGCAGTCATACATGAGGTGGTTAATGGCAAGTTCAAATAGCTCAGTGGTCACGTGTCTGACTACAAGCGGTACTGCGTGGTGACACAGGTCAGAGTCTCAGAAGGGACACGAGTTTCTTTCAAGGTCGCAGATACGCCTTTACTGACTGACTAGTGAGTGCCAACCAGCAAGAAACTTAGGTCAGGCAAAGCTTCCTGTCGATTGCCTTCAACCATCTAATAAAGAGAATGTTCTTCGCTTATTTTGAAAACCACTGTCAACACTTTATATCTTCATCTAGACTGACAAAAAACTCGTATATGAATGCAATCCGATATAATGCAGATTAGAGCTTTCATTTGATTACATTTCTTACTTGTTATTTTAGAATGTTATTTGTCAGTACTAATGAACGCTGAATATTTGACTTGAACTGGTCTCCAGATTAGCAAGAGACAAGAATACTGTAATTGCTTAAGCGATCGTGTACTAGTTGGCGGAAGATCGCGGAAATACGTTTATATACAGACTTCGGCGCTGATTAACCATTGTCAATCTGATTCATTTTAACTTGAAGCATATACCGTCGTGTCGCCCGACCGTTTCTTGTTGTTCTGCGTCAGTTAAATTGCATAGTATTGGCTTTGCAGGGATTTTGTTTGATTGCATGGAGGATTTAATCATGAGCTGACATCAGTTAGAGAACCATTGGAAAACCTGGGAGTACTGGACAGCTGTTTCGTCCTAGTTTGGGACTCTTCAGCAGTACGCACCCACCGGGATTCGAACCCAGGACCTTCTGGTTACAAGGCGAGCTCGTATACCATTGAGCCACTGGGACCCGATCCAATGGTCCTTGAATTCTAACTTCTGCCAGTTCACGACATAGCACGACCACTTGCAATGTCTTCTTCGATGAGTTACTGCCTCATCTTCGACCTGCTGTACCCTACTGGTTACGGCTTCCCACTAGAACCCCAGGTTAACTGCCTGAATACGGCCAGTCACTAATGAGCATCAGATTAATTTTCAAGTATTGGTGTGTTGCGTTGTGTTTTCTACGTATTAAACGTAGTCTTCTGAAACCAGCATAAGTTCCAAGATTTTTTTAACAGAATAATTGAGACTAAAATTAGCATATTTTGTCAATTAACCACTTATAAACTCATATTCAATTGATAATAAGGTGAAAAAATCTCCGAGAATAAATTACACGCTTATCTTACTACGTATGTTATGCAAGATTTCTTCGGCAACAATCAGAAACAATTTGACCAAGTGAAAATGCCCACAGAATATTTTGTGCATTAAAATTCATACTACTGTAAAAATATTTTAGTAGACACCTAAGTGTTTCGTTACTGTGAGCAGTAGAAGAAGAGTTTCTGTTTAGATTATTCCACGAATACACGATTTAGCTTAAATTTCACACAGTCAAGTTAGTCCCCTAGCAGTGGAAACAATAGTCACATTATATATTGTAATATTGTTATTAATATTTCTAACGGATGAAACTAACATCGAAACGCAAGTCAGGATTACTTGTAGAAAGAGGAGAGTGGACACCGCCAAATGTTCTGAAAGCCTGAATTCTTAAAACTCCGATTATGTGTAGTTGGCAGCTATTGTATTGAAATCCCAAAAATTGAAAGACCACAAAAAGAGGGCTGTTTACACCAGCGTTATCATCAGAATAATTTTATTATCTCTGAATAAAGAAAAATGGCAGGTTAAATTCAACTCAGTGGGGAAGCTGTAAAGTCTCCACAGTGAAAAATCTGAAGATCCCACAGCTTGGTTTCGTTTGATTATGCGACTAAGCACTGATGAGTGGCTCTAAATGTGTGATCGGCAACTATTCAGCTTGTAATATTGTCAAAAAAACACTTAAAGGGAATAATTTTATAAAACAGAGATGGATGTCAGATTAAACACAAATTGGTTTATCGTAAGATAGTTTCTATTGTTTTACACTGAGAATTCTTGTTATTTTTGTTCATTTAGAAGCGACTGATTACCGCTGTTTTCTGAAAGATTTCTGCTGAAAAAATAATAAATAAAGAATAAATGTACACTGAACACCGATAGAAATAATTGAGCATAATACCACATGAATCCAGAAAGGTATACATATACAATTTTGAAACCCGATGTAGTTTATCAATTTCATGGTATAAGCTGACATAAGTTTTGTGCAGCTGCATAAATTGTCTTTCAACATTTTTGGTTAACTGAATGCAGGATTTTGTAATGAGTTGACACGCGACACACACGGATGGAAACACGCAAAGTCAAACCTATACACACACACATTACCGCACTGAAATGACCACGCGAACACACAGCATCGAACACGATCACCGCCACCTGTCACAAATTACCAATATCAACATTCAATCGACAGTCTGACAACCACTCATCACACACACGCGCCCACGACCGCGCGAACAAACCCACAACCACTCATCCACAAACTAACACATTCCACACCTGCATCACTCAATCAATCCCTCACGCCCTCATGCACGAACAGTCAACCACGGAGACAGTCAGGCCAACACATTCATCAATTTGCCAGTTGACACACAATCACACCTACACAGTAACACGGATTATTGCTGCTCGAACTCAAACCCTCCAACCCACCATCTCAACTACACTCACACACAAAGCAACTCTCCTCACTTCACCCACTCCCTCAACACCATCGCACACACGCGTAACTGTCACTTCCCCTGTGCAATCATTCAAGTGTTGACCATCGCTTCCTGTCTTCCCTACATCTCCATCTATCTCCAGGTCTGCAGTCATCACCTTCCACCATCACACAGTCCGCCATTTACACCGGTCAGACAACTCCATCTGGTCAGCCAACCTCTACGCCACATATATTGAACACCACAATCACCCGAACTATCCGAGTCGCTGACAACTTAAACCACCTCCGCGACTACCGCCAACAACACTGGCACCACGTGCACAGGTGAGTCTGACAGTCATTCACACACTCACTAACTCACTCACTCACTCACTCAGTATCGCAGTCAGTCTCACCTTCCTCTACTCCACATCATCGAACTCCCACCACTATTCACACCAATCTCAATCTCGAAAATCACCCAACACACAGACACTCACACATACACACACGCACGCACGCACACGCCGACTATCCTCTAAATGAGTGAAGCACATGTCCACAGCCAAATGACATCGGTTACAGAGCCATTGGAAAACCACCAGGGTGTACTGTATACACACGTGCTCGATCAGTTAAGTTTAGGACTCACTCTTCATCAATACGCACCCACCTTTAGGGCTCGCGCCCAGGACCTTCTGGTTATAAGGGAAGCCACTGAGACCCAATCCAATGGATAAAACAGCTGTCCAGTACCCACAGGTTGTCCAATGGTTCTCTAACCAATACCAGCTCAAGATTAAATCCTGAAACCAATCAATCAAATCCCTACAAACCAGTGCTTCAATTGTTGGTTAATGTTACAAAAGATGTGTGAAATGTTTCGATTTGCAATCCGAAAATATTCCGAGTTACTTTTTTTAACCAATGGTTCCTAATACATAAGATAAACAACAAAAAGGCAGGTCGGGTATGAGGACAAACACTTGAAAGAGATGATATTGGCTAGTGTTGGTCACGCTATATCGTGCGTGAGTTGGTAGAAATAGGAATTCATGGTCTGGTCAGTGGGGAGTTTGATTTTAGTGGCTCATTGGTCTACGAGCTCGGTAGCCTTGTAAATGAGAGGTCGTGGGTTCGAACCATGTTGGTGGATGCGTCCCGCTGAAAAGTCAGTCCAAATACATTTCGTCAAATACGATTTACTGTTTCATCTTCAAATCATTGAGTTTAGTATCGAAACACTTTTTGCGTTAAAATATATAAATCACCAGGCATTTGAACCACTTCTACAGTGTATTTACAATTGGTTGAACTGATTAATTTTAGCGGTTTTTTAGTCAGTACAAAATTGCTATTTTGTCACTTTTAAAGAAACGTTTAGCTCTCTCTATCGTCAAGTGCCCAACGACTATCTCTAAGATTTCATATAATTCCTTTCAAAATATGTTATTTTGTGTTATGTACTTCTTGCAAGCACCTTTTATCCTCAGGATTTATTCATGAACTGACATCGTCAACAGCATTCTCAAGCTTTAAAATCACACATATTTCATAGATTATCTTGGCAATGAAAGGGATACTTCTGAAGACTTGTCACTATAAGTATGAATGTTTAGTATTTGGTAGTTGTAGGTAACCGGCAGAGGAAGCCTTGCTGGGACCTAATTGTTGTGCTAGTTACCAATTTATTTGGCACCCCGTAGATGATGGAGAAGGATTCTTCAGTGCTGGCTGGCTGGCTTTGTGGCCGGTTTCGACCAGTTGGTCTAATATCAAAATGTTGATGGTTTTTACTACACCCTTATTTAGCCATACTGGGAGATGTTCTCGAGGGAGCACGAAAAGTCAAGTTTCGAGAGCAACGGCCGATATAACTGGCTCCACCACAAACGTAGTTGAATTGGTAGATACAATTGGAAGTGTCTAGTCTAGGTAATTCATCTTTCAATCGAGCAAGTTATATTGGGCGTTGCACTCGAAACTTCACTTTTTGTGCTCCCTCGAGAACATCTCCCATTATGCCTAAATAAAGGTGTAGTAAAAACCAACAACATTTTGATATTAGACCAACTGGTTTAAACTGGCCACAAAGCCTTCATCATCATATACCGGTTGCCAAATAAATTGGTAAAAGCATACGGGTATCGCATGCTTCATACAGCAGAGGCTGCTGCGATTCGCGTAAGACAACTACTGCTCTATGTTCAGAAGAAGCAAGTTGAACTATCCACTACTACTACTACTGCCTTGTCTGGCTTTCAGTGGAGACTATATATCCATGAATTTGTATTAATATCTTTCTTAATTCCTCTGATATTCAGTGTATTGTTATGTTGATGATATCAAACTGCAATCCATTGATTTTATTATTATTATTATTATTGATTTGATATTATTTAAACAGCAACATTAATGTTGTTCATAACACTAATTCATTCACTGTAATGTATAGATAACTGTAGAACCTGATGAAAAGAAGGTTATCGAAAAGAATATTCTTTGTTCAGTATGCATTCTTTTGAAAAAATTTTAATGGACATTTTAAATCACTTAAAATATTGTAAGTTTATAATATTTATTTATTTAAGCTAGTCACTTACTTGTTACATATATTCAAACTCTGAAAACAATAGAAAACAGTAAATTAATTAAACGCTTACATCTGTTAAGATGATAAATAATCTTGATAAAGTAGGAAAATTTACAGGTTGAGATTATGACGCTTTTGAGAACTGTTTTATTGTTAATACTGATCCCTTTGGTTCCTAGTGAAACATACGGCTTCAATAGTACACTAACAATTCATCCTGTCGTATGTAGTCGTCATTCACTAGCTTTACGATTGACGATAGGCTCTAGTCTCTACCTCACTCAGTTTCCTCTATATCATCCTTGAAGCAACGTTTCTATTGTACAGTATGACTTCTAAAAGAGCCACCTTTGGGATATAATGGTATTGATGTCATTGACTTGTTTTACAGAAGTACTCGATATATTTAATGCCTATTAAACTTCAGGTATGTTGTGCTTTAACTGAAGTTCTCGATTATTCATCCTTATGATACATTTAGTCATTTTGTTACTCAGTGTGTAGTAAAATTGTTTTATCTGACAGCTTTTAACGCACTCTCAGTGGTACCTATAAACAACACCAGTTTAAAGACGAAACGGACGCTACATTCACAAATGACAGCAAAAGTTAGAATTGATGGGCCATTAATTCCGTCCCAGTGGTTGCATATTCAGAGGGCTGGCGCAGTACTTTAAGGTAGTGGGTTCGACACCTGATGGAATCATGGATGCGCATTGCTAAATCTCGCAAACCAAGACACAACAGCTGTCAGTGCCGGTAAACATTGAAGAGTTTGTTAATTCCAACTGGTCTACATATTGGCGGGAGACAGGAAGGCTGTTATTGCTTAATCAATCGTGTACTGCTGGGCAGTAGATTGTGGAAGTACGATCAGAAGTATCGTTGTACATTATATTACCGTTTATTTACAAACTTTGGCATTGATTAACCCTTGTAAATCTGTTTTGTTATCGCTTGAAGAATAAACGATCGTACTGCCCGAAAGTTTTCTGTTGTTCTGCGTCGTTTACAGTGCATAGCGTCCTGCATATTAGGTTTAGTGACAGGTCGAGAATCTCTGTTGATCTGGATATTTAACAACCTCTGTTCAGTACTCCCGAGTTTTCAATGGTCCTGTCATTGAAGTTATTTGATGATAACATTTCAATCATCCAGTATTCATGAAGAACTTTGTTCTCCAACTGTAACAGCGGCAAAATCTTATCCGGTAGTCTTCACATATTAGCTGACACTGATGAAAACGACAAAAAACCTGAATTTTTATACTTCTAAGAAACAGTTTAATTTATTTGGGAAACGTCTTTCTCTTTGTAATAAAAAAATGAAGGTATTCAGATATCAACAGAAGTGGAAAGACGCGTAAATTTGCAAATATTTACCTACATCTAAAGAGATATTTGAGGATCAGAAGACTTACCTGACAAACTTGTAGTGATTCACCCTTCTTCAGATTATCCGCGTACATGAGGAAACCATTAGTGGCAAACTGTCCACACTATAAGTAAAAATATTTAATACACAGTGAGTAGGTCAGCCATATGGCTCATACATTAAAAATTCATTTCTCATCATGAAATATGCCCTCTAAGAATTTTGAAATGTGACCCTGTAAAGGTGAACCCTGAAGAATTCCAAATATTTCAGTGGTTAAAATCTTATTAAAGTATTGTTTTGTAGGAATTTGATTGGCTGGTTATTGGGATTTCATCATGAACTGACATTAGTTAGAGAACCATTGAAAACCACAGGGAAGTACCGCCAGACATCTAGGTTCTTCATCAACTCAGTATCCGATTGACTCTTCAACAGTGCACACCCTCTGCAACAAGTTCAAATCCAGCACTCTCCGGTTACAAGTTAAGCGAGCTCGTAGACTATTAAGCCTCAGGAACCCAACTTCCCAGTGGCTAGACCGCAAATTCGAAATTCGACCAATTGACGCACAGCATAGCGCTCCTTGTAGTGGCCACTGCTATCTCTGGCGAGTATTTATCCTCACACTCGACCTGCTATATCCTACTGGTCAGGACTTCTCACTAGAACCTAGCTGGATAGGGCTAGTTGTTAGTGAGCATGTCATTGATATTCAAATGTAGGTTTTTTGAGATTTGATCGATTGGTTACAGGATTTTATTATGAACTAACATCGGTTAGAGAACCATTGGAAAACCAGCTGGGGGTACTGAATAGCTGTCTCGTCCTAGTTTGGGACTCTTCATCAGCTCGTCTTGTGAGCAGAAAGTCCTGGGTTTGAACCCTCGTGCTGGATGCGTACTGATGAAGAGTCGGTCCCAAGCCAGTTTAACGAAACAGCTGGCTGTCTTTCAGTACTCCTAGATGGCTTCTCGAAAGCTCCCTAACCGATATCAGCTCATGATGAAATGCTGTAAAAAGTTACTTGTCACTTCAGCTAAATACTTGTGTGCATTTTCATCGGAATCGGCTCCCTTTCTATCACATTTAAGGGTCACACTTTGGTGAATGTGGTCTGAAAATCGTAAAGAGTATTTAGAGTTGAGAATGAGAGTGTCAGTTGTTTGACGTTGGAAGTGAAAATTGATGTGAGAATAAAACTTGTGCACTGTGATAGAGTATAATTCCATTATGGATAAAATTCTTATTTTCGTAAAATCACGCAGTTTTTTAATTTTTTCATTACAGCTTGATTTCACACAGTACTTTTTGGTACAAGCATAGAATATTCAGGATGTGATATCGGTAGCCCAAATTTTGCAGGCTGACCATAGATATCAGGTGTGCGTCGACAGGAGATTGAACCTCGGACCATGTGCATGGTCAGCGAGAGTCCTAGCTACTGTGCCACCTGGGCACTATTGTACAGTAATGTCTATTGATGACCGCGTTTCAGGCACAATTCATTACTCCTCATAATCATATCACGGCATTGCTCATACAACTTTCTAACTTCCAAACTCTGCAGGTTAATGGACCCTGTCCGTTGACCCAATCACACAAAATAATATAATTTACAGAATACCTTACAATGACTGTGAGTTAAGTTAACTACAGAGGTCAAACTAGTAGATGAGAGAACATAAGATTTTGGCTAGGGTTAGAATGATTGACCCCTAGAAGATAAGTATTTTAGAAAAAAGTGCGGCAATCGCACTGCATGCGTGCATTAGCACACAAACACACAGTAGGCTGGGAGAGGGCTAAATTTCTAAAATATAATATAGATAGGTAGACATAGATAGAGTTTGATTACTGAATCCTGCCTGGTTCATCGAGTCTACAGCTAACACATGTGCAATAGGATGCAGTGACTCATCACTCATACCGCATATATATGGAAAATGCTACTACCAATCAAATCAAGAGATGAGAAATAATGGAATTGTATAAGTGAAGTTGAAAAATTGTGAGAGTAGTGCCTTAATTTGATGATGAGCAGTATTAAATTGTACTCCAAACATAGTCATTAGTAATAATTACTGTATAACAACACTGTGAGACTTCATAAAAACAAATTTTATCCACAAGGAAAATTGATAATTCAGCATTCGATTCATAATCATCGTCTTCTGTCAAAGATGGTATGATGTAATTAGTTGAATATTCCCATTTTTTTGTAATTTAGTAATTTTCAAGACTGGCGTATGTTTTGTATTAATATTTATGTACAAAGTACTCTCCATTCATGAATGCTGATAAAGAAGGCCAGTCTTATGTTGAAGAATCCACGATCGATTACTATTTAAAAAAAGCTTGAGATAACTGTCAAAAAACGGGTATTACTGCAGTTTTTATAATTCTCTGAACATTGAATACAAACAAAATAGTTATTATTATTCCCTTGGGTTCCGAGGGCAGTCAACGACTTCAACAAAATACACCTCCACTTTGCTCTATCTTCTGCTATCCTTTTTCAGCTGGCTGACCAGACAAGTGCGCATAATCTCTCATCTCCTCTTCTCCACACAACCTCCTCCGTGTCATCCACTCACTCACGACTCACTAATCGCTTCATATTCACCTACCACCGGAGCGATGACCTGCACTGTGCGCTATGTCATTTGACAGCCTCCTCAGAGTGTATCCGATCCACTTCTATTTTCTCCTACATATTTTTTGACCAATTGGATCTTGATTAGTTTGTTCCCAGAAAGGGATCCTTGTGGCTGATTCCTTCTGGCCAGCCGGCTGGCCTCCCATTTGATCTTAATTATAGACTCAATGAATAAGGCAGCTGTTGATAACACTTTGCATAGGTCTTTTGCAAATACTCTTCGTTACGGGAAAGCCCTATTTCCGACCCATATAGAAGAACTGATTGACTAGCTGACTTGACATAGGTGTTGAAATTGAGGATATTGTTCTGTATGCTGAGGCGGAGTGCAGGAGATTTCTAAACTGGTTTCAAAGTGATGAGGGTGTATATTGACTTTCCAGTCCCGACTGGTTTTGACATCTTCATCCGATCCACCGTGCTGTCTGTCTCTCTGTCTGTTTGTTTTCGACACAGAACTTTGCACCGATGTGCGGCAATTCAAGTCGCCACACTCCATGTAGCACACAAACCAACAGAAGAAACTAGAAGAAATGCACAATAGAGACAGTAAACAGAGGTGTGAGACAAAGGAATAGTAATAACGAAGAACAATATAGTTTCACTGGAAATCATAAGTAACAAGGAGTGGATGCATCTGAAACAGTCCTTGAGAAGGATTTTCAGCCAACCAGGAATTATACACCTTCCTACGTGGCTTAAACAGATTTTTGTTGTGGATTTCATTTACTGGTGAAGCCATGTTTTGGTTTGACCGCCGCTAGCTCTTTTCCAGCCTGACCCTTATGTCAGCTAACATTGCCTGTCGGTTGAGGAAGGCTATGACTAGGCATACGTAACACTTCTGCTAACCATCTTAGTCGATGTAATCTTACAGCCTCGTCGATTGAGATCCCCTCCTTACCTAGCACTCGATGCTTAACCTCAATACTGCTAACCTTATTATACAACTTCACACAGGCAGTGGTTGAAACGATGCCGGTTTCTTAGCCAGATAAGAGTAGGAAGTAACCTCTGTTAAATCTCTCACGTTGATGGTGATTGATGCTGGTTGTTAATATTGCCTAACTTCATCACCATCGTCTCCTCCAAGTTCACCTAGAGTTATATCTTTACCACCTGCTCACGTCTTCAACCAGTTTGTTGGTTTTCGAGGCTTCAAGTTTGCGTGTGACAATGAACACAAATCATCCATGCACAAAATCCACATATTCTACAGTCTTCATGTAGATCAGTGTAACTTATTCCTTTCTTCTCACTCCCTTGGCGCATTTCGATGCATAATCTAGTCCACGGTAATTAGAAAAATCATTGATGATAATAGCCTGGCAGCTAGTCTTCTCTTACTCCTGTATTCATTTCGAACGACTAGCTGAGATTTCAGTCGTGGATCGCCTGACACGTGACAAGCATTTTCATATAACCAGCCAGCTGCTGAACGAAGTTGATAGAGACTTGAGGCACTGCACACCATAGTGCTGAAGCAGTCTTCAAATTACTTCTCGGTCAACTCTGTCTATCATAGGCCTTTGCGAAGGCAAAAAAGTTGAAGTCTAGAGAGGTATGGCCGTCATTCTATGCTTTGTTCGATGACGGCGTCACCGGGATAGGTGTGTAAAATTCGTCAAATTAATATAAATGAATAAACTGAACTTGTAGAGACAGACTATCAAAGATTATATCGTAAACAAGTTTTAATTTTCTGCTTGAATGAGAGTACTCACCTCAGTCCAGATAAAACTCAAAAAATAGCATGTCTTATCTATTGCTTCTGTAATTCTCTCCAACAACATGGGTGAGTGAAGAATAACTAAAGTGAAATTAATCATAGCCAAGCATTCACTACAACCTTTAAAGTAAAAACAAGATGAAAATACTAACACCCATATAACATACCAATAGACGATAGATCATCAACAGTTTGTTGATCATTGGATCCATCCTAAATTGAGAACAGAAATCAATTAGTCTCTTGAACAGCCAAAATGTCTGGCTAACTAAGATCAAGTTAATTAGTGTGTGCTAAGTTTATTTGACATATATATCCATAGATTTTTGAATTTTCCCTGAAAGTGATTTACAAAAGCAGTTCCTGGCAAAAACTTATTTTCTCAAAGAAATATTTCTTCTTATTCATTAACATTCCCAGTGGAACTTAGGGCGGCTTCAAGCTAGACGCTTGAATTTTCGGTTGCAGTGGTGTTTATTTTTACGGGATGTGGTTACTAGCCTCATGCCCCTCCAACCTTCTCTCTTTATCAGTCTTATTAATGGCTTAGAGAAGTAAAGGAATACGTCGGTTTGGGATTGAACGCTAAACGAAATGCGTCGTTGGCGAGCATTTTTCCGCTACACCATCGATGCCTACCCAAGAAAATATGCGTATGAATTATATAGCCTAAATATACATGTGAGGCATGAAGTTAGGCGATTCTCCTTGAATCAGAGCTTCATGTAAGGTAATTACTGAGAAGCTGATATCCTCTGCGTATTTTATTCACACAATTTTATCTATGAAGCACTGGGCGTCTTTGATGAGTTATTCAATCACAATCTGTGAGACGTGGTCATCCACTAATGTATCTTATTCTTCCTAATTATATACGACAGAAAAGTGCGAAAGACCTTATAATGACCCACTGCTTCTCCTTAGACGTAACATCGTGTATATAGAAATCACATTAAAATTGTCAATTAGAAAGTACTACTTACTACACCAAGAAGTTCTTCAATGAACGAAATATTCCCATATTGAGTCATAAAGAAAGGCGTAAACAGCGAAGAAAATTTTCTTTTCAACAATTCATTTTCATGAGCTGGTGTACAACCATAATTATATTAAACAAAGAAATCTGTAGACCAGCTAGATACTAGAAAGCTTTGTCCTCGGGAATTTGTATTACATAATATAGGGTGTAACCTAGATGAGATGACTACTTGGAAATTAGAAAAAGGCGACAGAAGTCGGCATGACACAATAATTGTGGGATAGTGAATAATCAATAAGCTCGTGTAGAATGAACAGGAATTAGTGGGAAGGCAGTTTCTGATCTCGAATAGCTAATGCTTCAGCTAATGTACAGATGGCGTATTCGAAATCCTTTTGTACGATACTGAGGAACTCTGTGTAACACTGTGGAGCATTCATGCCAGTGGAGGTGTTCGATGTGTGGAGATGACGAGGTGTTCAAAGTTAGAATGTCTAGTTTTCTTCTATTCACCTCTGGCTAACCAAGCTGGATAGTGTTGCAGAATACGTTTGTGCACTTGACATTGCTTACTTCCAATAAATTTCGCACCACACGAACAAGTAACTAAACCGAAAAATACACATTGAGCTGGTCAATAGCGGTATTTTATCCTTAACCTTAGACTGGGTAAATTACCTACTGGAGAATGTGATGCGTGAGGTGGCTGAATGAAATGTCTTCATCAGACATTTCCATAAGGCAGTATTTAAGAATTTCAGCTGCAATGTCACATTTAGACTAAAGGTTTATGAAGAGATTTTTCTTGGCAACAGAGGAGACTTCTGTTTCATGTTTTTGTCTATGAATCTCGGTTGATACCCGTTCTCTAGTAGGGTTTTGCCTAATATATTTAATTCTTTCTCAATCATGTCTTCCGAAAAGATTTTTCTAATCCTTGAACTTTATGTACGTATCAGGTTTTACTTTCATATCAGTGGGATAAAGCTCTGCAAAGTGGATAAACTGTCCCGTCCATGGTGGCTTGTGATATACCGATCTTTGGATCGTACAGTCATGTCTTCTGGTAAGTATTGCATCGATGAATGGAAATGAGTTGTTCAATTCACGTTCTAATTTGAATTTTATTGATGGGTGTTCTGCGTTGAAGGTTTTGAGGGGATATTCTAAATCAGATTTTTCATTACGTTTCTCCTGTATAGGTGCAGTTGACTTATCAAAGGATCGAGGATGTCACTATGGCACTCTTAATGTATCATGCCAAATTCTGCCGCTTTTCTTACTTACAATTAGTCATCCCTTCTAGGTTACACCTTATATTATGTAGTACAATTTTTCAAGGACAAAGTTTACCAGTGTATGATTGGTCTGAAGATTTCGTTGTTTTTTCATATAATTACGGTTGTACAGCAGCTAATGAAAAGGAATCGTCGAAGAGAAACTTTTCTTCGATGTTTATGCCTTTTCTTATAACACCAAGAAGTGTCTGATAAAATGTTTGGTTGTCCTTCAGGTGTTTTCCTTTACTTTAGAGAATCATTCATAGATAAAGTGTAACTCATGCTTACATTGCAAAATTGTTGTGTGATAAAGTTGTGAAAATCTTTGGAAGAGAAATTCCCTTGATATTCTTTCGTTTGATTGATACACGTTGAAATTTCCTTGAAGAAGAGAAAACGAAAACAAGCAAATAAAATATATGTTTGAAATACGAGGTGAATAACAAGAGATACAAGACTTGGAGACAGAATCGTACTGTAGATCAAACCTAAAATTTGGATGCGCGTTACATTGTTTGACACATTCGTGATAATCACAAGAAACGAGTTAGATCATTAGCAACGTCTTCAGGGAAATCAAGTTCAAAAGAGGAAAGGAATCCTAGAACATAATCATAGTCAAACGAACAATTACAGGAATATAAGAAATTCAAGTTTATAGAAAATCAACCGACAAAGATCAAACACTTGACTACAAAACCAACAGCCGAATAACACACAAAGAGAGTTGCATACGAACATTATTCAACAGAGTAATGAGTCATTGGAGCACTCTCACCTTAAGGAGAATATAAGAATTATATCTCACTTAATGTCTCCCAAAAGAATGGATATCCACGGAACTTCATCAAAAGACATTTACCACCAAGCCAACCAACAAAATCGAAGGCCTCCAAGGAAAGCACAAGGAAACTCGCACAACCATACGTAAAGGACATCACAGAAATCACTGCAACACTCTTCAAACCTTCAATCAGCCAGCCAGCTCTGTGTCAACCAAAAGTGAAAGAAGACAAAGACCGATATCATCTACAAAATAAAATTGCAACGACTGCGAACAACACTACTTTGGCCAAAGTGGGCGTCCCGTTTGTCTCCGTATCCATGATCACAAACTGACTGTCAAAAGACATGATATCCACTCCCTCATATCACTACATACAGACAACCAAGGACATCATTTCGACTGCGACAACGTTCAAAAATATTAAACCAAGGAAACATCACGAATGCTAGAGAATTTTCAGTAGCCTGGCACTCCACTGAATCGTCAACTCATAGACAAGTTGACAGAGAAAAAATTTACCAATCGACAAGAAGAGAATCTCATGCACACAAAGGGTTAAACTTCAAGTCAAGGAAAAAATCAATACGAATACGAGTAGACTAGAGTATGTTAAGACAGACAATAGCAGCCAATCACGCTTAACGTCACCAGTAAAGACGAATAATAAACTGGTGGAAAAATCCAAAAGCTCAATTCAACCAATCAAAGTATGCGTTGAAGATGTTGCCTAGTTGGGGCGATGAGGCCTTCGCAAGTAAACTATCCAGCAAAATGTGTCCAAAACAAGTTCACATTTAACGGTTTGGAAAAATTTGGGCATTGGGTATATGATATTCATTATATTAAAGGCTTTCTTGTATTTTCCAATGAATGAAAAATAAAACGACATTGTTTTTACTGATGTTTCGCTATTTAATGCTAATAGCTAATACCCACTCAGCATATATATAACAAAGAGTTAAGGGATGATAAAATAGACTTAGGTCAAGTAAAAGGGACGTACAGAAAGTCAGAAAAGTGACAAGATTTAGGTTTTAGTTTAAACCAGAGGGAATTTCCAATTTCGGGTTTCATTTCTTGAAGGAATCTGTTTGTATTTACTTTCGTTTTGTTGAATTCAGAGGAAGTCGTGTGAGTACCATGATATGATTGTGAGCAATAAATTGTGCTCGAAACGTCATCAGTAAACATCACTGTATAACACCATGAAACTTTATCAAAACAAAAATTTACCCATAATGAAATTATATTCTACCAAAAAGTGCACAAGTTTTATTCTTATATCAGTGATTCCTTTTTCTGTTCAATGAGTAATTAGGGTCCTTCAGATAGATGTTCAATCGCCTTCTTTTCATAATCCGTTCTGTTCATTATCATCACAGTGATGTTTCCCTTGTCGGCTTTTGTTATGACGATGCTGTTGTCCTTCTTCAAATTTCTTGAGGTTTCATATTCTTGTTTGGTGAGATTAGATGGTATATTTTGTTGTGTCATTAATATGTGTGATATCTTTTGACGAATAGATTGTGATTGTCCATTGTTGAATTGTTGTAGAGCAGGTTCAATCATAGGCGGTATTTCCTGGACCGATAATGACTTTCTAGTGATATTGAAATTCAGACTTTTGTGTAGTAATGAAATTTCATTTTCGGTTAGTATCTTGTCTGACATGTTATGTATGGCTCTAATATTCTTCATATTATTTGCTGAGGTTTTCTTTGGTTGTTTCTTTTCTTCGAATTTTAAGAATTTTTGTGTACGTCTTCTTTTAGTGACATTATGAAAATGAGATTCGCGTTCATTCAACAATTTTTGAAAGGATTCACAGATATGACTTGTAACAAGTATTTTTTTAAACAGTCGTCTATATTTTTGATTCTCGTTCAATAAGATTCAAGATGAGAAAACAATAGAAGAAGAAATATCAAACATTACCGAAACTCTCCTCAAGCAAAACAACTACCCAAGGAACTTCATCAACAAAATCAACACAGACATTAAGTATGGCCGAGAACGCATTCCGAAACATCAGACACACTTCAAGGCAACCTTGTCCATATAAAAGACCAGATCCCTAAAGATTATCTATCTAATTTTGTCTACAAAATAAAATGCTTGCTTGGAGTGTGATGAGATCTACATCGGACAAACATCTCGACAAATCAAAATTAGAATAAATGAACACCGTAGAGCATCTCTTTGATCACAGAAAAATCCAGTTGAACTAGAAAAACTTGAAAAATCATCAGCCATAGCTTATCTACACTCTATAGAATCAGGCCACAAAATTGATTTTGACAATATTGAAATAATCCAGAAGAACCATTTCAGAAATCATAAAGAACGTCTAATATAATCAGAAAGACTTCATATCACGTGGAATCCAAATTGTCCGAGATGAATAGGAATGATGGACTCAAACAGAATGTGACCTGGTATCAACACCTTCCTCCCTCATGAAGTTGCAAAATCAACACGAATGTGATAAGCAAGTTCACTATGTAAGCACACACTACTTTTATAATTTTACACATTGACCAAATCTAACAATCTACACTTGACTTTGTTATCTATACCAACTGACCAACTTGACAAAAAGAAATGAACCCAGAGAGACAAACGATGATCAAGTTATTGAACTTTATTTTGATATCATAACATACGTACTATTACCTTTGTTATTTGGTGTGGTGATCTTCATTGTTATTTTGACTTTCAATATGTCCTTTTAACTTGAACTAAGTCTATTTCCTCATCTCTTACCTCTTTGTTATATATAAGCTGAGTGGATTTTGTAAATTCCGGTTTAATACTACTTTGATAAAGCTATTAGCATTAAATAGCGAAACATCAGTATAAAAACAATGTCGTTTTGTTTTTCATTCATTGGGAAATACAAAAACCTTTATTATTGAATTGAATTTTTGATTTTCCCGTCGATTGATTGGACCGAAGTGCTCGGTCTCAGGTTGACATGTCGGCTTCTTGTGCAGATGCTTCGACGATGTCCGGGCATTTAGTTAGTATACAATTGGTGGATGGTGGCTAGCAGTGGAATCCAGGATGCGCATTTCGTCCTATTTGGGACTCGTCAGGGAACATCATCACTCACTGAGAAATGCAGGTACATCCAGCTGACGAGTCCCAAATAGGACGAAATGCGCATCCTGGATTCCACTGCTAGCCACCATCCACCAATTGTATAAAAACCTTTATTATAATCAAAACCATCCAGCAAGCTCATAGAACACAACAAAACCAAAAATACATTCAGTCAAAACGAGCACTAGTCAAGAATCTATTATATAAAGTCAGTCAGGAGAATATACTTTACAGAGAGATTCACAGAATAATTTGTGATACTCGGATATATGTTGAAAAATAATGGTTACCCTCAAAACGTTTATTAATAATTATGGAAGATGTGAGGACTGTAATGCCAAACAAATCAAAGAGGAGAAAAGCCTGTCTTCAGATATATTTTAAAGGTGATAATATTGCAGGAATAGTCAAAAGAAGATTGAATATTTCACTAGCCAGAGCCTATACTACAGCTAAGCTGGTTCCCGTCTATCGAACAACATGCTTTTTGCTGCGATTAAAAGTCAAAAGAAACCCTTTTCATGTCAACTCCAACTGTGTATACACATGTTGATGTATCTGTGGGAGCATTTTCCACTGAAAGAACACAGAGAAGGCACGCATACCTCCGATTTTCTGAACATGTAACAAAACGTCTAGCTCTCAAATAGGAAAAAAAAACGGTTGTCGTGGTGTGATTACCAGGCATCTTCTTCAAATCAGGTAGAAATCACAAATACCTTTAAAATTATCAATAGGCAAAATGGTTCTATTCTCTTCATATTTGCCAAAGCAATCTCTATTAAACACCTGAAACCCAATTTATGTGTTCAGAAAGAAGCAGTTAGCACCAGTCTTTCCTTGCCCTTCCTAGTAACTGGATATATATATTCATCCTATTTCTCATTTGATTACGTGAAATTCCACTGTGATATATTTTTTTATTGTTTGGGATAAAGTGATTAGGGTTATTACTAATGTATGCATGTATTGATTGATTGATTGATTTTTTGTTAAAAAATGGACTCCCTATATATGCAAGTATGTCGAAATAGTTTCTGTACATAAACTTAATAATATCATTAAGCTGTAGGCAAACAGCTGATGAGAAGCTAACGAAATAAACAAAGGATGGTATCATCTTGTATTCTGCACAGACTACCAATGTTGTTGTTGTTCTCACTTTATTGAAATAAAGCGTTATCTACAGAGGCTGCAGCAGCTCGTGGGAACAATACCATCCAATATGGATTACAAATATACATTTAGACGATGAGTAGGAAATAAAAGACGAAGTTCACATCCTCGATTCCATCGCTAATCACATCACTCACTAACGAACGAGAATACTACCCACATTCGAAATTTCATGAACATTACAATCTAATAAAATCCCCTAATTCGAATTATAAATTCATTATATAATAACAACCTTTCAGATCATAAAATAATAACTAAAAGTTGATGAATTAGAATATGACATGACAAATGATTAGACACTTCGTAACAGGGATTGATTAACTCACCATTTCTGTATCGTTTTTATGTATATTAGAGCAGGCATCTTTGATAATTCCATCAATGTGATCACTATTCACTTCAGTCGACTCTATCGGTAGTGCTAGATTAATTGTCTTTTGACAGAATTTCTCCACTGTATGGGAGCGAATAAAAACATTTGCTTTTAAGAAAACAGTACTAACGTTATAACAAGCTTCAATTTTACTCAGTATTCGGATAAAATAGTTTCAAACACCATATGAAAGAACCCCAAAGGATACGTAGTGTTGAAGAATCAATCACAAACTAGACTGACGAAACAGCTATTCAGTAAGTACTCCAAGAATTTCAAATGCTTGTCTAACTGATATCAACTCATGATGGGATCCTATATCTAATCCGATCAAATCAGATCCTTGCAAAACAACTCGTGAACAGCAATCTGATGCTGAGTAGCGACTGGCTCATTCAAGTTGGCAGTTACCTGGCTTCTGGTGAGAAGTAGTGATCAGAAGCGTATAGCAGGTTGAGTATCAGGGGAGATATTCGCCACCGATGACATTGACTGGTACCAATCACACTGTATCATCTAGTGGTCATTTATTTGGCGTCCAGTGGCTTAGTAGTCTGTGAGCTTTCTAGTCTTGTAACCAAAATGTCCTGGGTTTGAACCCTTGCCTGTGGGTCTGTATTGCTGGAGTGTCAGTCCCCAACTAGGCCGACGAAGCAGGTGTCTATACAGTACTACCTTGTGGTTTTTCAATGATTCTCTAACCTCTATCAGTTCGTGATGAAATCCCTTGCAAACCAACACTCCAATACCAAAATGAAATTAATGAACGATATGTATAGTTAGTCAAAGTTTTATTGACAAAACTCACCGAAATACTCTTCTATAAATGCCTAAAAAGTAGTGAAAACGGGAAACAGACAAAATAAATTGAAAATTTCAAAAGAATGATTACTGAACAATGAATATACCCATTTTGATAGCCTACTCTTGATCAGGTTCTACAGTTATATATCCATCCATCCATAATAACGAAAAAATTACGGCTATTGACAACATTTAATGCTGTTTAAATAGCATCGAATCAATCAATGAGTAGAGCAAAGTTAAATAGTAAGCACCTTTAAGCGTGATAATTTGCTTTAAAAAAACGAAAGCTACGCCAAATATCGGACAAACAAATTATGAAAAAGTAATAGTACAGAATTCATGAATTTTTAGGCTGAACAGAAGGTCGGAGCAGGAATAGTAGCTAGTTGGACCAGTTTTCTCTGCACACAAAGCACTGGCTTTTGTAGGCGTATCGCGATAACTTCTGCTGTTTCTAGTCTTCGGCACCTAGATGCTGAAGAAGGCTTCTATGATGCTAGCTATGTGGTCGATCTGGACCAGGGGATTGACTTTTTCCACCATTCCTTTATTTAGCCACACGACACTGCTAGGTGTTCCCGAGAGAGAACAAGAAATCAAGTTCCTAGAGCAATGGCCTGTGTAACTCACTCCACCAAAAATGAGGTTGAGTTTGTTGATACACTTAGAGGTGGCTAGCCTAGTCTAGGTCCGTCATCTTTCAATCGACGAATCCCAACCGGTTGTGGTGTAGTAAATAAGACTTTTAGTTTATCAGTATTAAAACTACTTTGAATAGATTTTTTCACTCGGTACTTCATCCTTCAAATGCAGCTGTATATACACGAAGGCTTCTTATTTACAGATAGAGGGAGAATAGTCCTTTTTGTAATTTCTTGGTCATTTGCTTCTTAATGAGCTTTTCTGGATCACATCAATGAATCTTCTCAATAAGTAATTCTTCAAATTAAAAGTTTTGATCACACATCACAAAATGCCACCACTACGCAGATGTAGTGCGTAACACTTATGCCCGACTTTGTAGTATCACTTCATTGAAATGACTATCACCCAACCAATCGAATGATGACCAGTCCTTGTTAAAAACACCATAGAATTTTGATGTGGTTTTGTTCTCTGAGCTGGATAGTTAGTTTGCGAAGCTTTCATCACCTTACTGGGTGACATCTTCAGCGCATACTTCAAATTGAAGTGAGCTTTTAGGTTTCTCCACGAGTTTATTAATCATTCCTCCTGGTGACCTTGGAGGTGATTGGTTGCAGCACTCCCACCCTAAGAAAAATTGAAGAAAAGTATCTCATGGACGTCTTCCAAAAGAATGGATATCCCCGGAATTTCATCAAGAGACATATACCCCCAAGCCAACCTACCAAAACAAAAGCCACCAAGGAAAACACAAAGAAAATCGCCTTACCATATATAAAGGATATCTCAGAAATCACTAAAAGACTCTTCAAACCTTTAGGAATTGACGTCGTACACAAACCAACAAAGTCGCTGCACTCAATTCTATGTCAACCAAAAGACTCAACAGCAAAAGAAGACAAAACCAACATCATCTACAAAATAAACTGTAACAACTGTGAAAAACACTACATTGGCCAAAGTGGACGTCCCCTTCGTCTTCGTATCCACGAACATAAGCTAGCCGTCAAAAGACATGATATACACTCCCTCATTTCACTACACACAGACAACCACGGACATCAATTCGACTGGGACAACGTTCAAATATTAGACAAAGGAAATAACAAGAATGCTAGAGAATTTTTAGAAGCTTGGCATTCCAGTGAATCATCAATCAATAGACACATCGAGATAGACAAAATTTATCAACCAATAAGAAAGAAACTTCACACACGATTGGCCAAAGTTCAAGTCACAGAAACAATCAGTTCCAATACAAGTAACCTAGAAGGTGTGAAAACATACATAAACAACCAATCACGTCCAAGGTCACCAGGAGGAATGATTAATAAACTCGTGGAGAAACCTAAAAGCTCACTTCAATTTGAAGTATGCGCTGAAGATGTCACCCAGTAAGGTGATGAAAGCTTCGCAAACTAACTATCCAGCTCAGAGAACAAAACCACATCAAAATTATCCACCTGAGCTACAAATCTTCTCTATCATATCTACACCATAGAATGGACATAAGCTGAGTTCATAATTTCCACTTTTTTTATATTTGTAATTATTCTCCCCATAGAATGAATATATCAATTTTAAAGTTTCAAATAATTCATACAACTTACATCTCCACAGTAATTCAGACAACTAAAAACTATCGGGCGTCAAGTGTTGATCGACGATAGCTGTATTGAACATACAACCTACCGGATAAGATGTACACAGCATTTATTGACAACCTGTTCATTTTTTATTTTGCTAATTTATCAACTCTTGAATTGCGGAGTTCAGTTTAAATAGACCAGCGTAGTGTTCATGTGCTTTAAGAGTGATATCGGATAAGGCGTGATTTGTTAACAATTCTCGCTCGTTCGTTTGCAAAACACAATAACCAACAAACAACCACATTTTATTACTGAGAACATCACGTGTTTTGTGATGAAATTAATTAAATTAGTTTGGTATAAACCAAAAGTTTAATAAATGAGATCGAAAAATTAGATGAAAAAATTGATGATAATTATGAGGTCACACTATTTCGAAAGTAAAACAAACACATTTTTTACAGGTTAGTTCACCACACGTTGCGTGTTCTGATTACTGTGCTCAGAGAAGTTGATAAAAATTTTTGAAGTGATCAGATGAATAATATTTCTGAACTTCAATGACCCCGGTGTTTATATTTGCAATAAATCAGTTGAATGAGAGACTCAGAGAACGATAAGCATGCCGGCATCTGTTTATTAGAGCTGACGAAAATTGTAGTTGGCTTTCCTAAGATAAGGTATTAGAAGTTAGAATCAATTCGAAATTAGGTTACACGATTGGTTACGAGCTGATAACAGTTAGAAAACCATTGGAAGACCACCTAGGATTACTGCCAGATGACTAGCTGTCTCATCAGCCTGGTTTGCGACCGACTATACATCACGTGACACATCCACCCTACTGGTAGGGTGCCCAGCACCTTCCGGTGACAGGGCAAACGAGCTCATTGACTATTGAGTTGAGGAATTCTAACTCCTGCCTATTCGTAATTTATTTAGCGCAAGCCCAAGCTGATGTCACAGGCAAGGAACTGTCCGCTTGTCTGATTTATTGGACCCCAATGATTACGACTTCTCAGTGGATTTTCAGGTACTTCCTTAATAGGGCCAGTAGCTGGTGATCACCAGACTAATTGTCAAGTGTTGGATTGCTGGGATCTGATTGATTACAAAATTGATAATGGTGCACACTGATGAAGCGTCCCAGACTGGGCTGACCAAACAGCAGATGTATTACAGTACTCCCAGGTGTTCCAGTGGTTCTCTGACTAATGTCAGCTCGTGATGGATTCTGTAAAGAATCAAACACCTGCATTTTACACACTTGAAGGTGAAATTTCGCAACAATTCTCTTTGGAAACTGATACTATTCAGATCACACGATATTTGATCTATCGGATACAGAACTCCAGCGGTTCAGTTGCCTGAGCGAAGTTCAACCAGTCACACTGCTGATAAGCACGGTTACAAACGAGTAAACCATTTTGCCTGTGCTCAGATCACTTCACTTAGACAAGTATGCACAACTGGTTAACATGCGTGGGAACCAACTACTCATTTCGGTCAATCAGTAGTATGTAGTGTCATGCATAAATTTACCTGATTTGTAATCTGTAATTTGTATATGATCACATGAAATAGTTTGCATCTTAAAGAAGTCAACAAATAGTACCATAAATTATTTACTGTCCAAAATAAGAATACATTCATTGCTGGAAGCATTACTAAGTGTTAGTAGGCAGTTGTGATGTCCAATGATTCGGTGTACTTCAAAGCATATATTCGAAACCAAATAAAGTGACTAAATTTCCACCGATAATCAAATATATGCTGAACAAGTTGAGGCTATAAGTGCTTCAACAGTGAATACAAAGTGAACTGCTTCATTCCCACATTTAACGACACACAAACAGGCAGTAGCTTGCCTTTCATACTTTCATTATATACTGGCTAAATCTCAGCCTGATCCTCATTGAACCAGAATCGAGAACACTGTTGCACCTAGTTTCAAAATTGTGCCTCAATTTACTTTGGAAATGTTACTTTTTAAAAGCATTTTCAGCAACGAGTTACAGGAACATATTATGAATGCTAAGTGTTGATTAAAGCACTCACATGACATAAATAGATTTTTCGAACAGGTCAACTTGAAAGTAGAAGTAATTCAAGTCACTTATGAATGGGAAAGTCAAGAAGGGGACATTCCGATGTTAGACCATAGCGTGAAAAGGACTGAAGGCAGGGAGTGCAAAGCTAGTGTTTATAGAAAACCAACCCATTGAGACAAATATTTAGATTTCAGATAACCGCAACTTATGTCATTTAAAGTAGGATTGGTGAAATGTTCCAGTAGTAGGGCAGACAGACTAGGTAGTACGAAGGAAAATCTAAGATAGGTAGGTAGTGAGGCACATGAGAGAAGCCTTGGAACTAATTAAATACCCTGATACATTATTCAGGAAGTAAGCAGGAAAATGTAAAACTGGAATTAATAATAATCGTAGTGATGGTGTGGTAATGATCAATAATGTTATTGACGACATGCATGTGTCAGACATGCACAGGATAGTGACAACACCAACAATGGGCAGTCTAAATCGCCATCATTAGTACTTCCATACAAAGAAGGAACCCCAGAATCCTCGAAGACGGACAATTCCTAACAATGCAGACATCAATAAAAGTGGCTGGCATTTAAACTGCTCACAAACTCAAATAGAGACAAGCTTTGTCGGTTAACGGATCAATCCTATGGAATCACTTAAACGAAAAAGTTTACTTTACCTAACACCCTGCCAGCAACGATTGTCAGGTCAAATGTACATAAATCAAAGTAGTAGAACAGCTGCAGTCAGTAAGCCAGTCAGTCTGACTAGCACAAAACAAAATCCTGGCAGCAAAATCTAGATTAGTTCCCTCCCCAATTACAAGATAGGAAATATGGAGAATAATTTAGCTATCGCAATTGACTACATGCAATTGCTTACAACTATGCCATAGAATGGGATAAGATGACAGTTTTAAAATCTCTTATAACTAATATGGTGGAATAAGAGATTGATAAGTGAAGCTGTATTTATCGGATCACCTGGAGAGAATACATGTTATAGGGATCACTAAACGCATACGATGAGGAAAAAGGAAGGAATAAAGAAAAATATAAAACGAAAGTTACACATGGTTGCGTGATTATAATTGAAGAAATGATTATGAACAATAAATTATCTATGGAACTTTGTCATTCAATTAATAATACCATCTCCACCGTCTGCAGTAAGTCATTCTGCCGATTGCCTCCGTCCATATAATATCAACAGTTAGAAGTACAACGTGATGGCGAGCCACCTGGTGCCATGCTGATGATACCACAAACTTCCCTGATAGAACTCAGTCTTCGTCAAACGAGACAAGACTAGACACACCATACCAATGACTAACTAGTATCCAATCAAAGACAAGAAATAGAGTCTCAGATTACGTGAGCATATAGATGAAAATATCAGTCACCTCTCCGAGTGAAGGACATCACGGAATTATGGTGTTATTTATACAATACAAATAAATTTTGATGAATAGTTGTCGTCACACCCCATTGACTTCTGTTATGACTCGCTGAACCTTACCTCAGTCTATCCAGTCTAAGTTTAAGTCCACTTCTAGACTTTGACATGCACATGTGAAGTGAACACGTTTGAAATATTTTCCCCATTCGGTTTGCTACACACAGACACACACACACACAAGAATTTGCGTTGGATGTCACAATTTAGGCAAAGTGTGTAGCATCTCAACATCATATCAGCAATTACACGTGGATCGATCTCGAGGATATAATCAATTACCCCCCCCACCCCCACATATAATCGAGTTCCTTGATTGTGGTGTTTAATGTTGAATTGGTAGAGTGACTGCACTGCTATCTGATACATATAGCATACCCGTACACTGTTAATTCTCATTTCATGAGTATTAGTAAACTATGGGGAAATGGTGTTTCAGTGAATGCCATCATGACTTCAGATGATACCTGCTGAAAAAGAGTAAGCAAGACGAAGTCTCAGTACTAAAGCATCACTCCTGTCTGACACAGAATATCTAATACTAACTAGACGTGTAATTGATTATTAAATGAATCCGTATCCTGCACATTCTTACATTGGAATTTGTGTGCAGTTGAGACATCGGTAAAACATAAAAGATATACTGTCGAATGGATCCTCAACAGTGTTGATATATATCCTTGTCTAATTGTTTCCTCCACAAAAGACTAGACGACCCTTGTAGAAAACATTTTCATGTATTCTGCAAAACTATATTTTCAATACTTTTTGCTCTAAGAATATGCACTGGCCATTATTATTCTACTGCTCTCTTAAAACTTCTAATATCAGTTAATACACGACAACTTTCATTGTTTAGTCAATCTCCGTAAAATAAACTAAGAAATATCTGACCTACAAATTCAATACAATTTCAGAGTACACAAATGTTCAATGGAAACACAGAACAGACTTTTCATAAACCACACATACACACCAACGAAAAGGTGAAATTACATGTAGTCAGAATGCCTATGAGATATGTAGAATTTAGACGAGTGTAATGAATGCCTAGAGCATATCTTTGTCACAATCCTGCACACAACTAACGATAACACATTATGAAACTGTAAGCTACACATCTGACATATTATCAGTCATCTCCGAGTTCAGATAAACGACAAAACAATCAAAAGATTTGAAATTCGAGATATGCATATTCACTGCAAGCATTCATTCAACATATCACCTCAACTCTTGTTCTTATCTATTAAATATGCTCATTTCGGATCATGATAAAATTTGCTTAACTTAAATTTAATTTTTCTAAACCTCCTTGCATAGTCAGTCTTCAATGTAGGAATATTTAGTTGTGAATTAACAAATTGTTCTTGCATTTCACGCATTTCATATTTATGAAATCAAGACTGTTACATCTCACTTCATTTGACTGCATTCTGAGTGCAGAAAAAGCATTTTGAAACCAACACTTGCTATCGCATTTAACACAGTTTTGTTATTATTTTTATTTCTGAACAAAGCGATACTGTAACATTTTGGACAGATTAGGGTTCACTTGTGTTACTTTAAAGTGATTTAAGTGAAATTTAGCAAATGAATTTTGAAGTTAGTTTTTATTTTATTTTACCACTTGAATTCTTTCCATTCCACTTCACGTCTTCATTCTTATCGTAATCGTACTCCTAATTTT